GGTTGACGCTGCGCGTCGAGCTGCAAAAGTTCAGATTTTCTAACTTCAGCTATTTGGACGATTTGGACGATTTGGACGATCTGAGCGTTCGACGCTCAGATCGTCCAAATCGTTCAAATCGCGCTGCTCTAATCGCGCTTGAGGCGCCGCAGAACTTCCCGACGTTGCTTGAAGCGCGTCCACCATAGACTTTGCATGTAAACCTGCTGCTCCTGACGCTGAAATCGCGTTTGGTGTGAACGCACCATTAGAGAGAGGCTTTTATATGAGAGGACAGCCGCTGTGACGAAACCGTGGAGAAGACACGTCACCGTGGAGAGCCCTTAACCAATATGCAAATTAGCCTGCAGTACCACTGCTCTACCCATATGAGCAGCAAAAACACGTTTTTACACCAAATATTACAGATTTGAACAAATACGAACAAAAACATCAAAATTAGCACAGAAACAGTACTATATAACATTTTAGACACATTCTAGACAGTTTATCAGCTAAAAAAAAGTTAATTTTGGGGTAAGTTACTCTTTAATCACTTGTAATTGTGACAACTGATGCTCCCAAAGTGTTGCCTGTCCTCCATCATTCCAAGTCTTCCTGTATTAGAGCAGGTTCTGGTTTCGTGTTATTTTTTCTTGAACCCAAGTTTGAGAAAAAAAAAAAGGTAAATGACCCTTCCTTATTATAATAATTACAGAGAGCAGGAGCAAATCCAAGAGAAGCTGCCAGGTACTGCAGAGCAGAGGACTCTGACAGAACAGTTTACCTTCATTTGTCTCCTTCCACCTCCTCTTTCCTTCGCCTCCTCTGCTTCTTTAATACCTAATGTTAGGACAAGTCATCACCCATTTACAATGAAAACACTCTTAGCTGCCAGCCTCAGTGTTTRAGACATGTYYGGGTGAATCTGTGTATCAATGTGTGACTATCTCACCAAGTATCTGTTTGTTTCTGCCCTTTTCACATGATTCACTGTGTAAACAGTACGGTGACTCATACAGGTTGAGTGGAAATGTCATCTCCTTGCTAAAAACCAAACAGAGCCAGATATGTTGTCATATGAATGTGTGAGAGTGGTATGAGAGCATAAAAAGACACAGTTGTGTCACAGAGAGAGCTTCATCTCAGTCCTGGCATTGTTTCATATTTCCCCTGTCGTTATCCAGAGTAACGAAAGCAGCACTTTCACATGTCACTTCTGATTTCCAAACTGAGCGGAGAAGCAGAGCCGCCGAGGAGCAGCCGCTCCGACAGGAAACAATGCACACATTCAGCCCAGTTCGTTCACTGGTTCTCAGTACGCAGGGAGGACAAAGAGACTGGACGTGTGTCCATGTTTATGATAGGGTATGATGAGGCGAAGATGTTTTATTTAGGAGGCTCATGAGATTAAGAACTGGGAATGCCTCAAGATGTGGCTTTGAAGGCTCAGAGTGGTTTCAGACTCACAACTCAGTCTGTAAGACAGAGACAACTGGTGGGCAAAACGCACAAAAAGAACAACAAAAAACCCGCACAAAGGCTTTTAACAACATTGCTACTGCCTCCACTGTTTTAATTGATTATGACAAATATTAACACTTTSATTAAATTATTTCATATCAATAATACTTAAATAATGAATTATATAGTATCTATTTTACAAATGCAGTAACAGTTTGTGGACCAAAAAATGACTATTTGACAGACTATGACCAAACCTAAACTGGACACTCATGATCTCAGATCCTCAAACTGAACTGTTTCAAAACTGACATTAATCTGTTTAAACAATAAAAAATATCTTGGAAATACTTTTGAAAATATTTGCCAAGACTTAAAATCTGATTTACATTTACTACAAAAATCAACATTTGTCATTTTTGCAATGAATAAAGATTAAACTATTGCATTAAAAAAATCACAATCAACATGAACGTACCTGTAGGGTCTTGGTGAGGCTTTGAGGTGCACATTAAAAATGCAGTGGGTTTCCAGTATGTGTGATAGAGTGCTGTGCATCTACAATGGTTTAACACAAGCATAAAACATCTGTAGCAAGTTCATTTTGGTTTAAAATTGTGTTGGCAGCACAATGATGTCCTAAACTGATCGTGGGAGCAAAATGTGCATCTGTGTGACTTGGTTGTCAAGAATCTAAAGTAGGACTGTCTGTGCTGGGTTCATGCTAAATGACCTGCTTCTAAAGCAGATGGAAAAATTGTAGCATTGTGCTAGTATGGTGTGATCTTCTATCATATAGCAGCATCTTGACATGATGTGAGAAAGTTGTGCCAGGTTTGTGTATTAAATGTGGTGAGGGAGAAGGAGAACATTTCAAGGGTTAAAAAAAAAACAGCTGAAAAAGACCTGTGTGGATATGACTAAGACCATAGCACTGCTATGATTACATTTGCACTGGAGGTCTTCTAAATTGATTAAAATCCAGCAACGTTCTAATAGGTTGCATAGGTTGTGGAGAGTGTAGCAGGTTCATTACAGAGTGTGAGGGGGCTCATTTGTGGAGAGGTTGTGTTGACCTCTTTTGGCTCTAAGGCATCTGGGATGAACTATCATGCTGTAGAAACAGGTCAATAGAAATACAGAATGATTTTGGACCAGGTGCTCCATTTGTACAAAAAGACTAAACAAACATCCTCACTAATATCAGCCCCTAACCCAGGTTCAGTGATTGTATTGGGTTGGAGCWGTGCTCTTAGAAAAGTTCCTTCTGTGTTGGCAACTTTACTGCAAACATTTACAGAGTTATTAAATATAATAGTCTTTTCAACAATACAAAGCTATATTCTGCAAACATTACAAGAGTATGTTTGAGAAAGAAGAAGGCTTTGATATTGGACTGGTCTGCATGCAGCCCTGAACTGTCCGAATGTAAAATCAGTAATYCAACATTGGAAGTATACAGCAGCAACCCTTTAGATGCACCTGCGGGAAAATCTGAACAAAACTAAAATGTAAAAAAGCTTAATCTTTTGGTCCCTTTAATGATGAAAGTGTTGATTGAAATAAATGGGAACATTTGAAAGTGGTGAAACTTTACAGTCTTAATAATTTCTGGAAAAATAAAGTTACCATCCAGGCCTGAAAAGAAGCAAGAATCAATGTARAAGTTGGGTTTTTTTTTCTTGCGTTTTCCACAGAATAATTTTTTTCCTGACTTCAGATTTTAAATTTAAACAGTTTAAAACGTTTAAATGTTTAATAAGAAGCAAAGCATTTGACTGACACCTGTGACCATAAACAAGAGAAAGCTCCACCTAAAAACAAAATGGCCAAAACAAAAACTACAACTTTGAGCCAGCCACTAGTCTGACAGTCTGCATCCTCTTTGCACCACCCTGCAAAGCCATTCTCTCACAGACACTGTGACCCAATTCATCAAATTAAAGATTGCTTTAAATCACAATACTTTGTGAAACTTTAACATGTGCTGTCTCCTTTAATCTCATTAGCTGCTTCATTTATTTCCAATCAATGTCGTTACTTTTCATTCAACAGACATAAACAGACAGCCGAAAAAGTCACTTGTTTTAAACACTGGCATCTATCAGGCCTCTTCTTCTGGAAACATTCAGGAACTTCTCTCAAAGCCTTTTCCACAAAACACTGACTACATTCATTGTTTAACCTTCCTCTGTAATCAAATCAGTGCACATAGGAAACATGATAAAGTGAGTGGAATTACGAGTGAGTTTAGGAAGATTATCACAAAAATTTTGAATCATTGTGTTTGTGCATGTTTCCAGACAAACTAGAATCAGAATATTTTATCTGTACATCAAGAAGTTGACGTCCATCTTCCAAAGATGAGAAAATCAAGTCAACAAAAACTAATTTCTGCATTATTGATCAATAAAAGGTATTAAAAACTGATCCACACTTTCCTGTCTCATCCTAAACACCAGCTTCATTAGAAACAGAAACTCTACAGACATCAGTCCTGCAGCTGGACCTTTTYCAGCACTAATGTTGGACATGTCACATACATCTGTAGATACACTGACTGCTACAGCTCTGGAGTTCAACCAGCACTATTGGTGCTTCTATAATGAGAAGTCCAGCTGATCCACTGGTATCCAGTGTTCCTGGCCCAGCAGTGGTATAGATTGATTAGTATGAGCTGATTCCAGGCAGGGCGTTCTGAAGGCTGGCACTGCCAGCTGGATGCCTCAGACTCTACTGTCTACTGTTTCCATTCAGCTGCACCCAGTGACTCTCAGCTATAATGAGAAAACCTATCATGTGTGCATCYGAGAAAAACAGAAGAAGAAGAGTGATAGAACCTGACACTGATCCTGTCAGATTCCTGGCAGCAGAGTTTTAATGGCTGCTAAGGACGTCTAACAACCAATGATAAAAGAACTCATAGAAAAAAGGAATAGATTGAGTTAAATTGATATTTCTGTCTAAAACACAAGCCTTCAGCCTTCAGAGGGTGAAACATATTAAAGTTAGGTTGTGACCTCTGACACACACTCGTCTTTGGCTCGTTTCAACAAACTGAAACACATGAATGACAAGAGCAAGTCCCCCCAATTCAAAAACCAGATGAGATGAATGCATTAAAAGAGTGGGAGCAAGAGGAAGGGAAAGATGGCGTGCAAGCAGGAGGATCACTAAAGATGAACTGAGTGGGAGAAGTGAATGAAGCAACAAGAGCCGGCT